GCGGACCTAGGGAGAGCAGAGGCCTTATTATGCAGTGCAGCAGATCACGAACGTTAAGCATGTTTTATAAATGAAGGGTCCACGGCGGCCCAGGAGCGCGGGAGGAGCAGATGCGGAGAAAGCAGTGGGGGCTGGGGCACGGGGTGCACTTGTGGGCATGGAAGGCCTCCAGGCTAGCTCGGGAAGCTGGGAGCTATTTAAAAGTGCCTTCGTGACCTAGGTGGTATCTTGGTCTAAGTCATTTATCTGTGACCCACTGAAATCATTCTTTAATATTGTTTAAAAGAATAAAGATTTTTAAATATCTCCCACTCCACTTAGAAAAACAGTCTTTTGGGGGGGAAAATAGTCAACTATAATTTAAAATTTTTTAAAAACTTCATGAAATAGAATTATCATACTTTGGCCTTTTAAATGTAAAATTATAATTAAAAAATTATCAAGAGGTTAGAACCTCTAAAGTTATTTTTAATGAAATCCTTAGACTTGATGGGATCCAATTTTAGTGTTGATTTTTTATTCTCAGTTCTCCCAAGGCTGGGACATAACTGGCACCGTCTAGATGCAGAGGGCCAAAGTGAAGTCATTGCACACTGTAGAGGCCAGGGCAGTGGGGCTGTTTTGTCATGGAAGAGTTGACAAGGACTGCCCTACAAGTTCGTGAAGTGTTGATTGACAAGCAGAAGTGAATTGTCAACTGTGAAAAGTCACTATTGGTAAAATTCACTGATTTGAAGTGTACAATTCAATCATTTTTAGTAAATTTAGAGTTGTACAGCCGCCACCACAGACCAGTTTTAGAACATTTCCATCACCCTACGAAGTCCCCACATGCCCATTTGCAGTCACTCTTCACTACCATTGCCAGCCCCAGGCAGCTGCTGGTCTGCTTTCTGTTTCTATAGATTTGCCTTTTCTGGACATTTCATATAAATGTAATCATACAGCATGTGATCCCTTGTCTGTCTTCTTTCACTTAGCATAATTTTATTGAGGTTCGTTTGTGTGGTATCCTGTATCAGTACTTCATTCGTTTTGTATTCCTGGCACCCTGCCCATGCCTGGCACATAGTAGGTGCTCAGTGAGGGGCTGCGGGATCTGGCTGAGATTAGATGCCATTCCAAAATGAGGGTGGCTGCCCACCAAAGAACTTTGTCAACACCAAGCCGCTGTGGACTTGGCACTGATCCCCTGCCATTGATTTTTGAGGTTAAAAGCAAAGGGCCATAATGAAATTGACAAATGTAGAGTGCAGCTGGCCAAGGACAATGTCGGGTAGGCCCCTGTGGCTGCCGGTTGCGAATGACATAGTCATGTGCGGTGGCACAGCACTAAATGGGAAGCCCAGCTTTCTTGCTTAGTCCATCAAAAATCACCAATTTATTTTTTTCTTTGAGGGTTATAGATTTCTTTTTTTTCTTTTTTTAAAAACTATATATTATTGATTTTTTACAGAGAGGAAGGGAGAGGGATAGGGAGTTAGAAACATCAATGAGAGAGAAACATCAATCAGCTGCCTCCTGCACACCTCCTACTGGGGATGTGCCCGAAACCAAAGTACATGCCCTTGACCGGAATCAAACCTGGGACCCTGAGTCCACAGGCCGACGCTCTATCCACGGGGCCAAACCGGTCAGGGCAGATTTCTTTTTATACTTATTTCTTTTATATATTTGTTGTACTGTCAGATAAATATTTGATCGAAAATTAGTGCATTTGCTCTGGAAAGGCAAGAAATAAGTAGGCACAAATCCTTTTGATCATATCAAGATTTCTTTCTCTGTCCACATCGCATAGAAACCCCAGGGACTGGAGCTCAGGAACAGCGAGAGCAACAGAAACGTGCCTGCAGAGATGGAGGCCCCTTGGAGAAAGCCATCTGAACGTAGTGTGTGTCACCTAAACAGGGTCTAAGATTGTCTAAATAGCAATGAAAAATATAGGACTGAAATATAGAAATATAGAAAGGGGCATTTAAAAGTTAATAGGCTTATAAATTTCATCCTCACAGCGTTGACTTGGGTTTCAGGTAGACCTATAAAATCTTCAGGAACAGAGCAACACAAGTAGATTTCTGGCAGAGATTCAAGGCCATATACTGTGAATTCTAACAACTACCAGGAAAGGTCTCTAGTAGGTAATGTTCATCTCAGGGAATTAAGGGCTCTGGAGGACATGATGTCTGAGAGCAAACTTGCTTTCTAGCCAGGAGCAGTAAAAGAATACCCCTCCCCTACCTTTTTTTTTCTTGAATAAGAAATTGAACATTACAGTTAAGAGTTGAAGCACACACCCCCACCCAGTGTGGTACTCCCCTCTCTCTCTCTCCACAGGCAGACAAAATTGTGAATTTGGTGGGTATCCCTCTGAAGGTGTATGTATATATATATTCCATTTCACTACATCTGTGTGGGCATGTGTTTATTGTTTTAAAATAGAAATCAGTGACATCAGATGTACAGATCTTTTAATAATTTCCTTTCCTCTCAACAGTATGGTTTTGAGATCTGTGTGTGTTGTGTATACACACACATATATGTATCATAGCTATATAATGTTCCATTTTATGAATGTGTTGCAATTTATTCTTTCTCTTATTATTTTTTTAAATTCTTTATTACGGTATTACAAATGTTTCCTTACCTCCCATTAATCCCCCCCCACTCATGTTCTCATCCCCCTGTTGTCCATGTCCATTGGTTTGGCTTATATGCATGCATACAAGTCCTTTGGTTGATCTTATTCTTTCTCTTGTTGAAAGAACATCATCGCCCCCCTTACTACACATCATACTGCAGAGACCAGCTGTGTATATATTTTTGGTTCACTTAATCAAGGATCCAGCAAGTCTCAAACCCCTCAGCCTCAGGACTTCTTTATTATCTAAGAAAATATTGGGAGACCCAAACAGTTTTTGTTTATGTGAATTATAGCTATCTATATTTACCGTATTAGAAATTAAAACGGACAAATGATATTTATTAATGAATTAAAATGAACCATAAAACTATTACATGAACATAACATTTTATATTTTGAAACCCTGTATTTTCCAAAATACCCCCCCAAATTAGTAAGAAAAGTGATACTATTTTTTATGCTAATTTCTATAGTGTCTGACTTAATAAAAGGTGGCTTGATGTTCATATCTTGCTTCTGCATTCAGTGTTTACAGTCTTGTTTTGTTTGAAGTATATGAATAAAATCCAGCCTCACATAGTGTGTGAATAAAACACTGGAAAAGGTAGGAGTATTTTAATAGTCTTTTAAAGTAATTGTGGCTATTTTTTGCTACTACAACAAAACAAGTGTAAAATCTGAAACCATAATGACTAGAGTAATTGGCCTGTCCAAAATTTTAAATGAGTTTCTCACTGTTGTATGATTTTGTGGCATCCGGCACTGGTCATTGGGAGTATATGGGCTTACCCGGTTACAATATGGGGCCTCATGGGAGTGGATACAAGTTTTTGAAATTTTCACTTAAAACTCAAGTTTTATCTTTAGCAACAAATACTATCAGTTGTTACTATTTGTGATGGGCCCATTTCATTGATTTTTGAGAAAATGTCTGCCAGATAACCAGTTAGTAGAAGGGAGGAGCGTGGAAGGAAGCAGCCAGCTGGGCCCACCACCCACAGCTGCCCAGCACTTCCCCGGCCTCCGTAGACAGCTAAGTGTCCAGGCGTTCTTCCCATGACCCAACGTTCTTATGTCTTATATCTGTGCTTACTGTAATTCCTTCTTAGTGTTTGCTGAAGATGGTGGCATCTGGACTGAATTGGCAAGGGTTGGTGAGGTTTATCGGGGCTGATCAATTATAGAACAGGCTCCTCTAGACGCTAGAGCAGCGGTTCTCAACCTGTGGGTTGCGACCCCTTTGGGGGTTGAACAACCTTTTCACAGGGGTCGCCTAAGACCATCGGAAAACACATATTTTCCATGGTCTTCGGAACCGAGACACCGCTCCTCTATCGGTCTCCAGGCGGGTCCGCCCACATGCGTATTAAAGGGTCGCGGCATTAGGAAGGTTGAGAACCACTGCTCTAGAGGGATATAAAACACCGTGAAGTCCTCTGAGTACTACTAGGAATAATTTTGTACTCCAGGGAATAATTTTGTTATATAAGTTGTTTAGGTTTAGGGCTAAGCATAGTGGGGTATCTAATCCCAGTATGGGTCTTAGCTTTCTTGTGGTCAGAATATTAAAAGAAAAGTACTCAGGGGTTTAGATGTAATCAAATATAATTTTACTCTTTCATCGTGGATAATCTTAAGAAAGGTGGCGTGGTTTCCCCGAGTGCAGAGCAGTGAGCAGTGGCCATGAGTGTGGTTTGGGGCCCTGGCTTTAATTCGTGGGGAGAGGCCAGCAGTCTTACCCACCGATGCTTTTGAAGCATAAATGTCAGTTGAGTGAAAAAGGCAAATCATGTGTTAGTAGCATCATGAAGCAGTTTTGACTTCGCAGACCTCATGAAAGAGTATGGGAGCCTCTGGGTGTGTGCACTGTGCTCAGATGTGGGCCTAGACTTGCTTCAAGTAGGGGGTGCAGGCCACTTTGCCTTGTTTGTGGCTGCCCTCATCCTTTTTAAAAAATTTGCTGTTAGGGAAATTTCAAAAATATGCAAAAGTGAAGACTAGAATGACAAGGCCCAGTGCCATCTTCCAGGTCGACAGTTCCCCTCTCGCAGCCAGTCTGGTTTCACGTTTCCCCCCCTACTGTTCTTTCCTCCAATTTATTATAGACAAATCCCAGATGTCCTATAATTTAATACCACCCCTGTCTCTACACCAGTGGTTCTCAACCTTCCTAATGCCGTGACCCTTTAATACAGTTCCTCATGTAGTGGTGACCCCCAATTTCATTGTTACAAATTGAACATAATTAAAGCATAGTGATTAATCACAAAACAATATGTAATTATATATGTGTTTTCCTATGGTCTTAGACGACCCTGTGAAAGGGTCATTCTACCGCCAAAGGGGTCTCGACCCACAGGTTGAGAACCACTGCTCTACACCCCCGCTGTGCATAGAGCGGGGCCTTGGTTATGCCTTCCCACTTCCCACTGTGGGCAGGGAATGAGGCCTCCCACTGCCCTCGGGTTAGCCGCCCTGCAGTGGGGCAGAGGCCTCACGCCCTGAGGATGGGTTCCCACTCCACCATGGCCACCGTGAGCCAAGCCTTTAGTCACTGCAGCAGTGCAGGCAAGAGTCCGAAATGGTGCCCGCTCCCTCCAGTTTCTTTCGTCACCTGATGGAACAGCAGGGGAGGGCAGGTGACAGGCTAGGGGTGGGGAAAATTGTCTCCCTGCTCAGAAGCCCTAAACAAAAGCTTTTATCTCTTTAAGGACTGGAGGGAGGGCAGGAGAGGGAGGAGGAAGTGCGGGAACAGGCAAAGTGCTGAGCCATGGCCCCAGTGTTGAGGAGGCGTGTGCGAGCTTCTGGACCGGGAATGCAAACCAGATGAGATGGGCATGAGCGCAGCTGCCGGGGCCTGAGTTCTTGTTCGTGCCCCAGGTTCCTGGTGCAGCCTGGTGGCAAAGCCTTCTGATTGCCTCTGGTCGGCTCAGCACGATCCCAGGATCTAGGATGTAGGTCGGAGCTGGACTCCTGATATATATTTGTTGGCTATGCCTTTAATTAAAACCAAAAGAAAAAACTTTATTCATTTCACTCTGTGGCACACAGCATCTCTGGCTCCCAGCGCCACTCTGGCACACGCTACAAAAGGTTTGCTTGCTTATGCCGAGTGATTGTATTTTCCCTCCAGCCACCCGTGGGACACGGTCATCAAGGCTGCTATGAGGAAGTACCCGAATCCGATGAATCCCTGCGTGGTGGGCGTCGATGTGCTGGAGCGCAGCGTGGACCGCTGCGGCCGGCTGCACAGCCACCGCCTCCTCAGCACCGAGTGGGGGCTGCCCGCCCTCGTGAAAGCGGTGAGCCCACAGCTGCTTGTCCCCGCTGGGACCTGCCCACCCGCTACACCTGCACCACCCCACTGGTGCCGGCTTTGCTCCCCCTACCCCTGCATCACCCTGCCTGCCTACACCCGCTCTGCCCCCAGCTGGCACCATCTGCAGGAAAGGACTACCTCCCCTTAGAGCGCCCACTGGGGATTTCTAGGAAGCCCAAGAGATGGTTTGTTCCGCTGCCAGCGTCATGAAACGGTCCGTCTCCGTGGTCCTGACACACCTCCTGCCACGTGGCATGGCTCCACCCTCAGTCCTGCCAGCACAGAATACCCTCCCGCCTCGCTCCACGGTGTCGCATCTGTTGGGCTGCCACAATGAAACACCAGAGATTTGGGGGCTTAAACCACAGACAGTTTCTCTGTTTTGGAGGCTGGAAGTCCAAGAGCAAGGTCCCGGCAGGGTAGTTTCCTCTGAGGACCTTGAGGGATGGGTCTGTTCTAGCTTCTCCTTGGCTCAAAGACACCTGCCCGCCCCCCACCTCCTCACGTGGTTGACACTTGTCCCCCCAGAACTCCGCATGGCACCCTTCCTCCCTCCCAGGCTCTGCCACTGGCAGAGGGGCCTTCTCTGCACTCCTGCCCCCCACCCCCATTTTCTTTTTCATCAAAGCATTCATTACTGTCATACACTCAGGTCTACTTGAATTCATTCATTTGTCCAGTGTCTCTCCCACCTGCTAGAACAGAAACCTGAAGTTACCGCACAGGTTCATGGCGCACCCCCACCCGTGTACAAATGAGTAAATGAAACGGTGTTTTGTGTTTGATGCTACGGAATGACAGTGTAACATACCATTACGCTAGTTTTGCTTTGTTTTTTTAGATTTTGGGAACCAGTAGGACTTTAACATACATCAGAGAACATTCTGTTGTGGATCCGGTGGAAAAGAAAATGGAACTTTGTTCCACCAATGTAAGCAATGGCCCTAGGATGAGAAAGGTGCTTGGTATGTCTTGGTGATGGTGTGTAATGGCTTCATTTAACTTGATGTTCAGCCCACCTTTGGTCTGAGTGATCGCCTATTTTTTATAGGTGAACTTATTTAGTAGTATGTTATTACCTTTTTATTCCAGGACAGTAAGTGTCTAGAAAAATGCACATAATGATGAACTGTCACGAAGTGAACACACCTGTATAACCAGCGGACAGATCGAGAGACAGAATGTGACTGTCCCTCCCCCGCCCTTGCTCCTTTCCAGAATTGCCCCCCCCCCGCCCCCCCGCCACTGGGGATGTGCCCGCAACCAAGATACATGCCCTTGACCAGAATCGAACTTGAGACCCTTCAGTCCACAGGCCGACGCTCTATCCACTGAGCCAAACCGGTTAGGGCTAGAAAGGGTGATTTTTAGCAGTAATTTCATTTTTCTTTGAATTTAGCAGAAATTTTAAAAGTAACTTTCCTCCTTCACTCCCTCTCACTTCTCTCAATTAGAAAAATGTACATTGGCTTAATGCACATTCAAAAACATGTTGGGGAGAGTGCATCGGCTAGGAACACAGTTTACTTTATGAAATCTCACTGTGGGTTGTGTCTCTGCATGTGGAAGGTTAGGTTCTGAGCCGCTTACAGCGTTTGGCATAGCATCTCGGACCGTTCCCTCGTGCCGGGCAGCCCTGCTGTGAAAGTCACAGGGAGGCTCGCAGGTGTGTCCCCTCATCGGCCAAAACTGACAAGTTACATATTCTGCTTTCTCTCCTCTACTTGGAAAATTCCACTCCGTCCTTCGCGAAAGTTTAGTTTTCAGTAAAGAAGGACGGTTCATGCTACAGTGAGGTCCAGTGGAAAGGAAATAGGGCATGGCGTAGGACAGTTGTGACCTGTATCCTGAAATTATCATGGAATGGTTGTATGACTGCATGTGTTCCTTATTAACCTTTTCTGGCTCCCACATTCCTTGTCTTAAAAAGAAAAAAGAACAAATCTCATAGTATTGTTATGAGGATTAATGAAGGGAAATAAGGTTTATAAAACACAGCAGGCATAAAAATATTGCACACAAAAAGATAATAGCTAATCGGAGTTTAATTGTTAATGTTGGTAAATATTTCCATACACTGTATTCACTGTAACTAATGAGCTTGTGACTACCCTATACACAGTAGGAGGAAAGAGATTTCCCTGCTAACCACTTTGCTGGATCACTGAGGCCAGGCTGGGAGCCCATTGAAAGATGATTACATGAGAAAGTATAAGTGCTTCAAGTTTATCATTGCTGGAAGATTACATTGCCTTTGACCACTTGAACTTTTTTTTTTTTTTAAAAAAAACTCTTATATTGGAATTGGCTCTTTGCTAAGAGAGTAAATTGAGTTAAACAAAGATGAAATTCCACTGTCCGCCACATGTGGCTATTTCCATTTCAATTAATTAGGAGTAAGTAAAATTAACAATTCAGTTCCCCTGCACACTAACCATATTCCAAGTGTTCACTGGCCACACACGTTTAGTGACTTCGACAATGAACAGCTCAGAGATAGAACATTTCATATATATATTGATTTCAGAGAGGAAGAAAGAGGGAGAGAGAGATAGAAACATAAATGATGAGAGAGAATCACTGATTGGCTGCCTCCTGCACAGCCCCTACTGGGGATCGAGCCCAAAACTCAGGCATGCGCCTCATCAGGAATTGAACTGTGACCTCCTGGTTACTAGGTGGACACTCAACCACTGAGCCACGCCAGCTGGGTAGGACATTTCTAATATTACAGAAAATTCTGTGGGACCGTGCTGTTCTAGAGCTCCAGTTTTCAAATAGTTTTTAATAGAAAATATTTAAAATGTACATGGGGGGTTGGCTAGTTGGTTTATTGGACACAGCCCTGAGGAGATATCTATATACTTTGCTCTCACAATCTGTGCAGACTCAGGGCACTGCCCTGCGAAACCCCAGGACACAGTGTCCCAAAGCCAGAGCCTGCCCCTGGTGGGTGAGAAGCCTCTGCTCATTTACCTGCATGCTGGCCCAGGAATATTTTGTCCTTTTTTGGCCGAGGGTTTGGAAGTTTGAAAAGACAGGTTTCTTCACTATCCCCAAAGTAGAGTGTTCCTATAAAACCTTAGGTAAGCCGAAATGGTGTAACGTGAAGGAGCAGTTTCATAGGACACATCTTGGTAACGATGCACAAAATAAATGGAGATAAAGCGCAGGTGCTCACAGACAGTTGGTAGCTCCGAGCGGGGCTTGCTGCTGAGGTGCTGAGCGTGGCTCCTGAACGCTGTTTTTGCTTGTCACCTTTTTTCATAAAAGCAAAGATCCTCTTCAAATTTCTACCAGTTAGCAAAAACAGGGACTGATGTAGGTCTTTCCTAAAAGCAAAGTCGCGTATGCAAACTTTCAAAAAGTGGGGGCTGCTGTCCCTGGAAGGCCAGGCCCAGCTCAGGTTTGGGTGGAGAGAGGCCGGTGAAGCAGCCAGGACCCGGTTTCCCTGGGACTCAATACTGGTGGTGCCTTCTGGGCCAAAATGTTTCTCCTGTTCTGGCTCCAGTAGGTGCTGTTTGGGGGACGGGCGGGTGGTTTGGGAAGAAACGGAAGAGGCGTAGAACCTAAAGCCATTGTTCCTTTTTTTAAGATCACACTCACAAACTTGGTGTCGGTGAACGAGAGGTTGGTGTACACACCCCATCCGAAGAACCCTGACATGTACGTGGCCTCGCCCCGGCTTCCACAGGTTCAACTCCAGGGTCAGGGCGGGCGGAGCCTCCCCTCTCGGAGGGCCGGAGGGCCGCTCAGCCTTGCGCTTCTTGCCCCCCTGCAGGACGGTGCTCACGCAGGAAGCCATCATCACCGTGAAGGGGATCAGCCTTGGCAGCTACCTGGAAGGCTTAATGGCCAACACAATATCATCCAACGCCAAGAAGGTACGGCCCTCCGCCCGCCCCGGGTGCGCTCTGGCTGCTGGGCCCAGGGGAAGCGGATGAAATGCGAGGTCCCATCGTCCATGCGTGCGGGGCCTGCTGTCTAGTTTAGCTTGTGCTGCTGCATCATGTTCCACATTTACCTTCAAAACTGGCAGCAAGGGAGGCGTGCCCATCCGAGGGAAAAGTGCAGGGTCAAGCCAGCCGAGGCGAAGAGCTGAAATAACAGGCTCAGTTATTAAACAACCCCACACGTTAAATGATGTGTGTTTATGTCGTCAGGCAGGGTATGTGGGATTTTCCCCGGTTTCCTATTTCATAGGCGTTCTGTGGCTTTGTCCCCACCTCTCCATTTGCAAGCTTTCCCTGGAGGCAGCTGGCATTCCCTGGCAGGACTGGGGAGTGAGCTTGGTGGAGGTGAGAGGAGAAAGGATGCACCCGGGAGGCCATCCTGCCCCGGTCCCTGGGTGGAGGGCTCAGCCTCAGGGACTATCCCGGAGTCCAGGTCGCCTTCCTCTGCAGCAGAAGAGAGCTGGGATGTGTGCAAGTTCAAGGTCATGCATGCCGCTCACCAGGGCAGGGCCTGGCTTTTCACCTTAGCTTACTTCACAGGCTCCCACCTTCCCCAGGCGTCCTCCTCCCTTTGCTCCCACCCTGGCCACCCTCCCCTTCTCTTCCTTTGTCTCAGTCAGAAGTGATGCCTCATGTTGGTCATCAGTTAGCTGCTACCTAAGCCGTACTTCCCTTCCTACCATGCTTAAGTCAGATCCTAGCGGAAAACTATTTTTGCTCACATTTAGTCTAGAAGAGCCAATCTTCTCCACTGTTTAGAAAAATCCAGATCCGAGAAATGTATGCAGTCGCTTAGCTCGGTTCAGGGAAGGTGGAACCACAGTGCCTCAAGCTGCGCGCATTGTGTCCCCAGTGTGAGCCCTTGGGGAGGGGAGGACAGCCTTACTGACCCGTGTGTCCAGGGTCTGGCTTAGGGCAGGCACCCTCTGGTTTGTGAAAAAACAAGGAGGAAGTCAATACTGGGTGAGGCCAAAGCCACCTCAGACCTTTTATGAGAAAAATCAGGGTAAACTCAGTGCAGCCAAATACAATTCTTTCATTCACTTATCTTAGGGGTTATTGTGTTGAAGGCCTGGTAGAGAATCAGCCCTCCCTCTAGTTATCGTTATGATTTGACAGAATCGCTGGTCAGTCGGAGAGATGCCTGGGAGAGCTGGTAGGCCGAGGGTGGGCACAAGAGATAGGAGATGGGGCATCCGGTCATCTGGGATTCGGGAGCCAGAGCTTTGGGACAACGCATGGAGACCAGGAGGGTGGCTGCCCTTTCCCCTCCTCCTGCTCTCAGGAGGTGGCGGTGCGGGTGAGGGGAGCCAGTGTCAGTATAGCCAATTGGATGCAGGAATTTTAGGCAGAGTGCATACCCCCTAATTTCGATTTTGAGACACTGCCTGCTTACAGGGAAAGATTGCTCGCAAATGGTGACTGTTGTATCTTTAAAACTGCTGTTTAAATCACAGGCTTGCAGCTGCCCCTGCAGGAGGCAGGGCTCTTACACCATGTTGAAACCCTTCTGTGTTGCTCCAGGGGTGGGCTGCTATTGAGTGGATAATTGAAAATCCTGAAAGCGCTGTGAGCTAACGGGGCCTGCACCTGCGCCTCATGATGAACGGTGGTAACTACATATTCGTTAACCTGGTTGAGACTAGCTGCTTGCTAACCACGTGCATGGTGTGCGGTGCGGAAGCGGTCTATGAGCTGGAGCTGCATGCGAGTCCACCCCTGTGCCCACAGTGTCTTCTGTAGTGAGAAAACACCACTAGGCCCGTCCTCGTCCTCATCCATCTCCTTGTTTCACGGCAGGATTTGTTTTCAAGGGAAACCGGAATACTTGTCATCTTGTCTCTAACGAAGTCCTGGCTCACATCTCCTACACCAAAGAGCCGCATGTGGCTGGTGAGCCGCAGTTGGCTGACCCCTGTCCTACAGCCTGTGCAGAGTACAGAGCTGTCATTAGTAGGCCCAGACTGTGTGAAAGGCCGGGTAACGGGAGGATTGTTTCATTTGGAGTGGGATTTGAATATTTGCACATGTTCTTATGAAGACTGCTCTGTGCCCTGGCGCCAGCGCTGAGAGGGGAAAGTGGGCCCAACCTTCTCACTCCCTGCAAGCCAGCCCCCGGCCACGCACCTGCCACTGGCCATTTCCTTTTAGTGGCAAAAGCATCTCCTTGAGCTACTCAAACACCCCTTGGTTCCCTAGACCAGCAGTGGCTGGATTGTCAACATGGATTTGACACTTAGTGGTCAGCAGTGATCTTCATATCTCATAAGAAAGTCAGAGTTTCCTGCTGCCTTCTGTTTGTAGGATCCTTACACTCCTGCCTTGAAACTCCTCACCCTGCTGACTCTCTCCGCTGTGCTGCTCTGGGACCCGCTGCCCGCGGTCGGTCTGTCTGCGGGCGCCCTGCAGCACCTGGGCACACATTTGGTGCCTCAGTCAGCGAACGACAGCCGCGGGGTTCAGGCTTCTTTAAGAACTTCTTGCTGATTTTTCTTAAGTCACTGAGGTTGAGGTTTGCCATACGCCTTTACCTTGAACCCCAGGTCATGGTCTGTGGCTGATCCTCTTTCCTTCCATGGATGCACCGCTAAGGTGACCACTGGGTGAGCACGGTGTGTGTGGGCAGTGTGGTGTGTGGGATGGTGTCAGTTTGAGTTGTGGACTCTGCCACATTCAATTTCCTCATACCCTGGAGCTAAACTGCCTCCATCTTTAATCAGATGCCCAAAAAATCAAAGAGGAAATAAAGAAAGGAAGAAAGAAGCGAGTCCTGAATACGATTCAAGGGCCCAGTCTGGGAGAGGTGTGGAATCTGCTGGAATCCGCCTCCTGCCTGCTCACAGCCTCCGCCAGGCTCCTCCGGTGACCCCAGGACAGGAAGCTCGGCCGAGGTGCAGAAGGAGCTCCTCTGTTGCAGAGTGAGACCCAGAGGAAGAAGACCTCTCACAAGTAGGAGGACCGGGCCCACGAAGCTGCCACTTTGTCATCCTGATTGCCGAGCCGGGTCCTGGGAGCCGGCCCTGCCCACAGCCCAGCCGCCCCCCTGCCAGCGTTTAGTCAGACTGTTCTTGTGCCTTTGTCTATTTTCTCCTTAGCAACAGCTCCGGGCTCTTTCTTGCCAGTTCTTGGGAAAGCACTAAATAGCTTTTCTCTTTTCAGATCGCTGCCCGTTTCCCTCCCCTGCCTCTTAAATAACAGTCTTCACCACCAGTCCCTTCACACATAGCTGGTTACCATCTGCCGTTTCAGATGGTGTTGCCATGGACCCCTCTCTTCCCCTCATCACTGCGCAAATCTGCACACTCTAGAGCAGGGGCGCCCCTCCCCGCAACGGTGACGTGTGTGGTTGACAGGACCACGAGCTCTCCAATCAGAGGCAGAATTGGTCAGGAGAGCAAAGCTCTGTCCTGGGCCTGCACCTCGTCTGTCCTGCCATCTGGGACCAGCGACCCCAAGTGCCGAAGGCCAGGGTCCCTTCTCCCCATTCAGACCTGTCCTCACGGAGAGCCACTGCTATCCTGTTAGCTTGACGGCACTTCCCAAATTGGGAGTTTTCATTTTCCCGTTTTCAAAAGTAAAATGTACAATCTCTTTCAATATCTTTCAAATTATAAAACCTTTAGAGAAGGCCTCCTCCATAAAGGACGGGTAGAACCTGTGTTTCACTCTTTTATTAGCTATTGCTTTTTGTTTGATAATAGTACTTCCAATCCAACCTGAAATTACTCATTTTTATTTTATTAGACTATTTTATGCAGAAAGCTTAAGGCAAAATAGAGTTTTTATGTCAAAAACAAACACTCTTACCCCTTCTGCACTGCACGGTTTGCCCCTTCTAAGAGGACTCTGAACTCTGGGCTGTTTCTGCCGTTTACTGCTAGATTTCTAAATAAATAGGTATATTCTGCTTTTTTCTTGATTCAGTCGTTTTAGATGTGGGCTGTTGACTTCCCGTGGTGGTGGGTTATTATTTTATCTCTTACAGCTTCCCTCCCTCCCCCACTTCCCCAATACAGCTGTACTGTAATGTGTGGTTAAAAGCACATTCAGAAATTCCAACGTTTTGAAAATATACTACTATTATTTTTTAACAAGCCAGACGTAAATACCAGAATTATGGTTTCTGATATAAGTTTTTCCCTTGCAGGTAATACTAATCTTATTCTCTTCATCTATTTATTTCTTAGAAGTCTGGCTGAGTCCTCCTACACTCTTCACCCACTCGCTGCAGTGCCCCGCGACATCGTCTCCCACAGGGTATCCTCTCCCGTTTCCCTGGCGCTGCCCTTCCTGGGAGCCTGGTCTCGCTCGCTCTCCTGTGGCCCAGCAGCCGCAGGGCTGTCTTCACTCCGGGCACTTCCTAGGCCGCCTCCTGTCCTGGAACCTTGTCTCCTGGGTTCCCTGCCTCTTCTCTTCCCGGTTCCCGACTGGAAAGGACTCTTGTGGTAGCGCCTAGGCCAGAGATGGCGAACCTTGTGAGCTCGGCGTGCCAGCATTTTGAAAAACCCTAACTTAACTCTGGTGCCGTGTCACACATAGAAATTTTTTGATATTTGCAACCATAGTAAAACAAAGACTTATATTTTGGATATTTATCTTATATATTTAAATGCCATTTAACAAAGAAAAATCAACCAAAAAAATGAGTTCGCGTGTCACCTCTGACACGCGTGTCATAGGTTCGCCATCACTGGCCTAGGACTGAGCACATCTGAAAATGTCTCTTCTGTTCTCACGCTTCATTTACGATGCTAGATAAAAAATGCTTTCACTCGGAAGTGTGGAGGCATTGCTCCATTGTTGTGCACTCTGGTTCTTGGTCTCCGCATGGGGCTTTTTTCTCTCCCAAAGCTTTTAGGATCTTTTTATCTCTGATCTGGGAAATTTCATACGGCTAAGCCTGGCTTGAAGTGATCTTTTAAAATTCACTGTGTTGTATGTGTTGAATTCCTGTTTTTGATATTATAATTATATAAGATGTTATTAGGGGAAAGTGGGTGAA